GACCATCTCAATAAAAAAAAAAAAAAAAAAAAAAAAGACATAAAAATTTATAAAGGAGGACAGAAATCACCCATAATGTCAACATGAAAAAACAATAGAATTTTGTGATGTTCCCTTTATATCTTTGCTCACGTGCATTTTTTGCATAACTATAAAATGTTCACATATAGATTTTTAATCCTGATTTTATTTTAGGCTACATAGAACGGATGTTTACATTTTAAATTATCTCTGAATTGTCTAGATAATATTCCATCCAGCAGGGAATTATAATTTTTTTTTTCCTGAGATAGAGTCTCACTGTTGTCACCCAGACTGGAGTGCAGTGGCACGATCTCAGCTCACTGCAACCTCCACCTCCCGGGTTCAAGCGATTCTCCTGCCTCAGCCTCCTGAGTAGCTGGGATTACAGGCGCATGCCACCACACCCCGGCTAATTTTTGTACTTTTAGTAGAGACAGGGTTTCACCATGTTGGCCAGGCTGGTGTCAAACTGCTGACCTCAGGTGATCCACCCACCTCGGCTTCCCAAAGTGCTAGGATTGCAGGTGTGAGCCACCGTGCCCAGCCAATTATAACTTATTAAACAATGCCCTTATGTTGAATAGTTCTTTTTAAAATTTTTCTTTACTTTCTGGAATTTTGTTGAATCTCAAAATAATTGGGAACTACCTTAGAATGCCTTTGTGATGAAGGCTCATATGTCATATGCAAATTCAGTTCCTGACCTCAGGAAGTTTTTAGTTAAGAGCAGGTGACTAATAATTATAATCAAGTGTGATCATTGCTATATAAGAGGTATGTCTAAATTGCTCTGGGGTAGGAGGATGGGAGAATATTGGTAAAGACTTCTTAGAGGAGGTGCTGTTTGAGTTACATCCTTATATCCTGAGGGCAGTTAAGAGTTAGCCAGCTATGGCCGGGCACGGTGGCTCACACCTGTAATCCCAGCATTTTGGGAGGCCGAGGCGGGTAGATCACGAGGTCAGGAGATCGAGACCATCCTGGCTAACACGGTGAAACCCTGTGTCTACTAAAAATACAAAAAATTAGCTGGGCATGGTGGTGGGCGCCTGTAGTCCCAGCTATTCAGAAGGCTGAGGCAGGAGAATGGCGTGAACCCAGGAGGTGGAGCTTGCATGAGCCGAGATCGCACCACTGCACTCCAGCCTGGGCGACAAAGCGAGACTCTGTCTCAGAAAAAAAAAAAAAAAAGAGTTAGCCAGTTTGAAGTGATGGAAACACATTCCAGGAAGAGAAGATTGCTTGAAGGGAGTATAGAGGGATGGCAAAGCATGACGTATTTAGGGAATGACAGATAGCCTAGTATGGTTGGAGAAATGGAGGCTCATGGATGAGTGGCAGGATGGGATCCTAAATATGGAGACTGTGGTCAGATTACAAGAGACTTTCTGTGCCAAGCCGAGGAGTTGAAACTTCACGCGGAGGGCCACAGAGAGCCATGGGGGGGAACACTTCCTAAATAAGAATGTGGTTTTGGAGCACAGCAACCTCATTGCTTTGGCAGTCTCCAATAAGTGTAATGAAATCTTCTAGTATGAAGACTGAAAATGATGCACTCAGCTTTCTTCCGGATCATTTGTATTTGTCATGAAAAGCATTTTGGTAGCATGTTTAAGTCACAAAGGTGGACTTCGGATGGTTAGACTGCCCTGGAGTCTACTGGGGCCTCTTTGGGAAATAGGAAAATACCTCAGGGACAGGAATCATGTGCTGCGAAGATGGTATTTAGTATGTATATTAGTCAGGACTTTTCAAGTTGACGGAACCCCAACTGAGATAATAGAAAGGGAAATGTCTTTCTATATGTAACGAAAATGTCTAAGGGTGGTTCTTGTTCTTTCCGGTTTCAGGCACAGTGGGATCCAGAGGCTCAAGCAGTATTGGTAAAGCTTGCTCCCTTCCTGCCTCCACTGGTCACTCCATCCTTCATTCTAGGTCCCTTTATTCTCTCCTGTAGCAGATAGATGCTTCTGCTTAACCAGGGAGAGTTGCTGCTGGAAGCCCCTGCTTGTGTTATCTCTTGAACTCACAATCCCAAAGGAATACTCTTTCCTCCTTTCTCCCATAAATCATGTGAGAAATTTCAGGGAATCACATGCCCATCCCTGAACCAGGATGGTGGAATACTCTATTGGTCAGGTCTGGGGGAGCCCACCAAAACTGTATGTAATAGGATACCCAAAGTTAGTGGGATTCTATTTATAGAAGGAGGAGAGTAGGAGTACTAGCCAAATGTTTAAATAAATAAAGGTCATCCACTATTGTTATCTCTTGTTCTTCTAAAGAGGGGAGATGTCCACTGGAAAAAAGTAGAGCTCATCACGTATCCAAGAACTGCCTTCATGCGTGAGTTTGGCCGGATATGTGCTTGCACTGTAGTCCACTTGGTATCCAGGTCGCACAGAACGGATACTCCCAGCGCATGTTCCAAAGCAGCCCCCTGTCCAATTTTCCTTAGCACGTAGGCTCAAGACAATGCCCCACTTCCCAAAGGCCTTATGGCAATGTCCTCTTTTTCTTTCACATGTATGATTTATGTTCTGTCAACGACAGGAAACTACTCAAAGATCCACCCAGTCCTGCTGCTGCCCCTGTGATGGTTTGTTTTTCTCATTGTTTAGCGCTCCATTAGCTTCCGCAGTGAGAGCCGCCCTGACATCCTCGCCCCCCGACCCTGGTCCAGAAATGCCGCCCCCTCAAGCACGAAACGGAGAGATAGCAAGCTGTGGAGTGAGACCTTCGATGTGTGCGTCAATCAGATGCTTACATCCAAGGAAATCAAACGTCAGGAGGTAGGCTCCGGGCCCAAACTCCATGTTGGCTGTGTGTCTGGAACAAAGGTGCATTGCAGGCGTCAGCCGTGCTGGAGTTTGCACCTTAGTCTCCAAATCAATTCTTCATTGCATTTGTAGAAGGACAAACGGGAGTGTCTGACCTTGGGGAAGGAACTGAGAAACCAGAAACCAGCTGGGAGGGTGTGGCCCCCACTTTAAAAAGAAACTGATGTGAAAATGTGAATTTACAAGAAGATGAAACCAAATGTCTATTTAGGATTCTGAAGTTCACAGAAATAATCATTTTAGTTATATTTTGATAGCAACTTCTAGACTATTTTAAAATATTCAGTTTCCATAACTTTCATTCAGCTTTGTGGAAAACTTCCTTTCTATAGAATCCAGTTAATTTCATTCCCTGTAAGTTTTCTGTATCAGTTGCCCTAAATGGCTCTGATAATACTACCCTGTATAGAAGAGCTTGTCTAAGTGCTTGTGCCAGGCTGTGCTGAGAACTTCATGTGTGCATCATCGGATGAGATCCTTGGAGTATCCAGCCCAGGGTTGTGCCTCCACCTGCTTTGTCCTCAGTTTACCAAGCAGCCCCAGGTGGAGGGAGCTTTCAAAGCCTGACCACTTTTTCCCTATATCCTGAAACACAGTAGACCCTGAAATATAATTACAAACTTGCAGTCCTTTAATAATGTAATGTTTGCTGACAGTTTGACTTCCCAGATGGAAGTGAAAGAGTGTTCTGCGCGTCATAGCTCTTTAGTATGATGGCTTAATGGAGCCAAATTAGAAACGGTCCATTTACATTACATACTCTTCCACACAGCCAGCTCCTATAATTTTATTTTTTGTACCTGTGGGACTGAGAGGTAATTTAGAATGAATTAACTTTACCAGATTGTATTTGGAGTGATAAAATGTTGGATTCTTCCTACAATATCAGCCTAAAGGCATTGGATAATACAAATAAAACTTTCTGCTGAGATTCGCCTTCTGTCGAGTGGAAGAAAAAGTGAGGATGGCCCAGTTAATAATACTGCCACATCCATTATCTAGAACAGCCTCTGAATCACTTCTTATGATTGCCTCTCACAACAAGGGTACCAAATCCATGCTCACGCTAATTATTTTACCTAAAATAGTTCCCTCTTGTTTGACTGCATCAAAATTCTGTAACATGAAAGATGACTTTTTGAATTAGAAATATGTGGAAACTTTCTCCCACAAACAGAGAAGCACAATATGCAGTAGTTTTGCAGTACTGATGCATTTGCTTCAGGTTAATGTAACTTAAAATACTTAAATATGTAAATTTGGGGTTTTGAGTGGTGGAGCCAGCACTCTTTGAATATGGTCTTCTAAATGAAGGGAGAATTCAGTGAATATGTTTATCTTTCCTTGCAGGCCATCTTTGAGCTTTCCCAAGGAGAAGAAGACTTGATAGAAGACTTGAAATTAGCAAAAAAGGTAAATTTAAATCCAGTCATTTGAGTCAAGTCACTTTTTTTTCTTGACTAATTTCACAACCCTAAAGTGGTGCTTCATGAGAACTCCTTTTATGACTAAGACTGGTCTGCTACTACACGCCAAGCAGTGGGGAAAGTGCTTCAAAACCAGAGGACAGAATAGCTCTCCAGACCTGGCACCTTTAGGCATTTACCTCTGCATGTCTCTAATGCATGTCAAAGAATACTTCAGCCCAAATCAGAAAGTGTCCATGGAGGCCTCACTTTATGTATGTTTCGTTGTCCTAGAAGTCTCATATGTACGAGTCGTTGCCCATGGGAGAGAATGTGTGCTTCTCTGAAACTTGAACTGAGTCTTAGAAATAAAGCCATTTGAATCTCAAAAGCAAATAAAGTGAAATGAGGCAATTGCATACTATCATATAAGCTGGGGTCTTTTATATAGGAATTTGTTTTCTAATCAACATTTTGTGTGGGGAGGAGGAGGACAACAAACCTTCCTCAAAAATGTTTTCATTCCAGTGGCACAGCCCCCCAACTCCATGGCTTGGAGGCTAAAACCAGACTCCTTCATCTGATATTCACAACCTCCTCGAAGAATCACAGGGTTGGAAGGATACCTTCCTTCTTTTAAGGGTTTTTAGTCTTTCTGCTAAGATGAAATTCCACCTCTAGCATTCCTGAGAGACGGCCACCCAAGCTTTGCTTGGACACAGCTAAGAAACTGAGTTTTAGGCAGGGCTGGAGGAGGAGATCAGAGAGGACAAAGAAGTTATTTCACTGTGAGAGTTATCATGCTGGTCATATGTGTAATTTCCCTTTCCTGCATGAAGATTTGCCAAACTCAAGCACCTTGAGATGTTTCCCGGCCATCCTTTTCCTCATGGTGGCCCTACCGTCCTACAAACTTTTCTCGTTCCTTTCAACCGTTCATATCCACCCATCCTTCAGGAACCAGCTCAAATCTCAGTTTATTCTTACATAACATTTATTGCCTCCTTCTCTGTACCAAGCAGCTCATCTTCAAAACTTTCCATGGCCACTCCAGTTTTAATTCTCTGACCCTCTAGAGCAGTTTTGATTTGATGGCTTTTTGCTGTCATGTGACATCAGTCTTGATTTGAATCTTTAGATTTTAAACATAAGCCGGGTCCGGTGGCTCACACCTATAATCCCAACACTTTGGGAAGCTGAGGCGGGTGGATCACTGAAGGTCAGGAGTTCAAGACCAGCCTGGCCAGCATGGTGAAACCCCATCTCTACTAAAAAATACAAAAATTAGGCTGGGCATGGTGGCTCACGCCTGTAATCCCAGCACTTTGGCAGGCTGAGGTCGGCAGATCACGAAGTCAGGAGATCGAGACCATCCTGGCCAACATGGTGAAACCCTGTCTCTACTAAAAGTACAAAAATTAGCTGGGTGTGGTGGCGTGCACCTGTAGTTCCAGCTACTCAGGAGGCTGAAGCAGGGAATTGCTTGAACCCGGGAGGCAGAGGTTGCAGTGAGCCAAGATCCACTGCACTCCAGCCTGGCGACAGAGCAAGACTCCGTCTCAAAAGAAAAAAAAAAAAAAATTAACCAGGCGTGGTGGCAGGCACCCATAATCCCAGCTACTCAGGAGGTTGAGGCAGGAGAATCACTTGAACTCAGGAGACAGAGGTTGCAGTGAGCTGAGATCATGCCACTACACTCCAGCCTGGGTGACAGAGCAAGACTCCATCTCAAAAAAAAAAAAAAAAGAAAAAAATTCTTTTTTAAACATAGATTTAGTTTTCCATGAGATTGGAAACTAAAATGTAAAACTAGAAAATATTTTAGTTTTTCTTATCTTCCCCATTAGCTTTATAAAATTCCTTGAAGGTAGGAGACTTCTAAGTCTTTGTATTCTACTTCAGTGCCCTGTGTATAACTGTGTATTCTTGTTGTTTAATTTTCTCTAATAAGAGGTGATAGGATTAGCAGAGGTTTTGCTCTCTTCGTTCAAATCAGTAGTAAAGGATACCAATCACTGTTTCTTTCCTCTTTTTCTTTATTTTAAATATGTACTAATTTTAAAAAAGAATCTGCTGGTAGCTAGTTTTGAATAAAGTGGGATTTTTTTTTAAAAGGCAGGATCTTGATTTTGAAAACATATTAACAGTCAAATCTGTTCTATACCTAGGATTTGTGCTCTTTCCTAGATACATGATATACTAGAATAAAAAAGCTTTTGAAAAATCTGCTTTGGTTTCTCAACCACAAAGGCTCAAGGCAGTGCTGGTTTCTCCTCTCCTCCAGCCACACCTGTCTGCTGTTCCTGCAGCTTTATGGGAGAAGTTGTTGTTAGAGAGCCAGAAGTTTTGTTATTGGATAGGACCTATCGGGAGTTACTTACATGAACAATGTACTTCCTCTGATTTTAAACATTTGCTTCCATCTCTTGCCATTTTTGTGCAGGCCTATCATGACCCCATGCTGAAACTCTCCATAATGACAGAACAAGAGTTGAATCAAATTTTTGGAACACTGGACTCTCTAATCCCTCTACATGAAGGTATAATTTTGTTCCCAGGATGAGTTGTGACTTGTAGCCTTAATTGAGTTGTCTTATTAACGAGTGAGTGATTATGAAATGCCTGCAATGTGAATAACCTACTTCCAGCCCTGTTCATATTTGATTGCCTAACAAATAAGCATCTGTTTGTTTTTTGCCAGAGCTCCTTAGTCAGCTTCGAGATGTTCGGAAACCTGATGGCTCGACTGAACACGTTGGTCCCATCCTCGTGGGCTGGGTAAGAAAGTTCTCTGGTCTTTATTGAAGATAAATTTCAAAAATATAGATGGGAGTTTCATTTTAGCTAGACTTTTTTTTTTTTTTTTTTTTTTACAAATACTGGTTTCGCATCAGAAAAAAAAGCAAGTTCCTAGTAAAATTGTAATTATATTTAAACTTTGTATCTTTAAAGCATGAAAACAGTTTTTTTCTTGTTACAAATTTACTGCATTTAAAAGTAACAGGGCCTTTTGCAACAAAATAAGTAAACGTACACATGAAACTATTACTAGTCTCATATCAAATGAAGTAAAACTAGTTAATATTCTATCAGGCCAATTGCTAGTATAATATAGTCCAATAAAAATTTAGTGACTTATCCACTACCAAAAAAAAAAAAAAAAATTTTCAGGCCATAAAAAAAATCTCATGGTCAAAATGTAGTTTTATAAACAAGATAATAAGTAAAGGTTGCTAATGTTTAGCATATAAAAAAAAACTTTTCAGGCCATAAAAAAATCTCATGGTCAAAATGTAGTTTTATAAACAAGATAATAAGTAAAGGTTACTAATGTTTAGGATATATACCATGCTAAGTAATTTATAGGAGAGCTGGGTATTACGGTGACCTTCATCCCAACACAATCCATTCCTTTTCGTAATTAAATAAAAAGAAATAAGCTGTGATCTTAGATTAGGAGTCATAAATTTATGATCCTAGGGCTGGATTTGTATTGTGTACATGAAGTTGTTGTTTGTTTGATTAACTTATGCCAGACAAGGCGTGTGCTCTATTTTGCCTCAGTCCCCACCACTCCCTATTCTATACATTTACGTTTCCTTCTGTGAGTACTTGAATGTTCCACCCCAGTTCCAGGTGTTTTTCGTCTGTTATGAAGCAGATAATGAGAGGAGATTACTTTGCTGACTTCTTCCAGGCAAGATTAGGTCTCTCATCACTCTGTTGCACACAGTATTCCAGAAAAATAGGCAGGAAGTACCACAACAGCTAATATTAGAGATCATTTCACTGTTTGGAGAGTGTTGTGAAGGTTATAAATCCTACTGTTGCTATGTGAGTTCTCTTTATTCAGTTACATCTGCATTTTAATCTTCCTAAAACCTTTCGGTTCACATGCCTTGATAATACATAGATGTGCAGAAAGTTTTAACATTGATCTTTTAACTTTATGTTTCTCAGTGACTGCCTTGATCAAGATACTTGATGAGAGTTTCATGACTTAGGTAGCTTTAGTTCAGGAGTCAATTTTAGCACCAAGGCTGAAATATCCCAAGGGATCTGAAAGGCAAGTAATGGTCTAAGATGAATAATTTAGAAAATATGCCTTAATATTTCAAGAGAGATCATTCATCTTATATTTTTGACTTTCATTTTATTATGAGCCATGGCAGATGTCTTAACTTCTTTAGCTCACAAAGAAATTTCTCCAAAGAGAGCCAGCCAACTGGAGACAGAGACAGAGAAGGTATAATGAGCAGAGAGTCTGCCTCAATATCTCTTAAACTTCCTGAGTCTGTGGAGTGTTTTGATACGGGGGTAAACGGAGCAGTTAGGTCGCACTCCAGAATTTGTAGGATAACTCCTCTGCTTTTGATGAGACAGCAGTACAGGACTACATGGTTTCCTTAAGCATCATATGCAAATTGTCAATTTATGCCAGAAGCAAAATTGTAGGAATTTGCCTTGTTATTAACTTTTTGCTGAAATAAACATTTGTCATGTTTATTAGAAAATTGGTGTGATCTGGGAACAGCTTTGCAGTCCTTTTCTGTACATACCCAAAGGAAGTGTGACCATGCTGGCCCATTGCTGTCTGGACGCTTCAGGCATCAAATGAGGACTTGGATCTTGAAGAGCAGCCTAAAATTAAACAACTGGCCCGTTGTTGCCAGACTTCATGAGAAATGGCCCTTATTTATCAGGCCCGACGAGCTGTTAAATGTTTTCCTCTTTTAACTGCAGATGTGTCCGTGTGAGTGGTAACAGTAAACCTAGGGGTACATATGTTTGAGTTCTTGTATTTTTAACAGAACAAAATAAACATCTTAGTGGACTTTGGATGAGAAAAGTCAGAGCCCGTTCGACCCATGAAAAATTGATTTATTTTCCTCGCAAAGGAAAAAAGTGAGGGGGGAAAAAATCCTTTTAAACAAGTGAGCCTTCCAAGTGGGACAGCCCTGGCAAGTCCTTTTGACCTTAGAATGAATCAATTACTTTTACTTTGAAGACTTTAAACAGAGTGGTTGCTTTTTTTCAGGGAACTACCCCGGTTACTGAGAATCAGTGTCCCCCCCTCCCTAGTGGGTCAGCCTGTTTGAGTAAGCCTTCTCTAGCATAAAGAAACAACCTCCAAGTGACTTATCTCCATGCCAACGTTTTTTCAATGATAAAATACTTTATAAGCTCTCCAAGGCAGAAAGTTCTCATGTTAATTTGATGTCTCATTAAATTTTAATTCCTAAGAAAGAGCCAGGGTACATGGAAGCAAAAAAAAAAATAGATTTGTTCACAATATTAGGGGGATAATAGAACTTCTTTAAAAAGTGAGTTTCCCTTATAAATTCTTGATAGTCTATTTAATAAAGAGATGGCGAATAGTTCAGAACTCTGAAGGTAAAGGGGAAGCAAGAAGAAGTGTCAGACTCTAGTTTTGTCTCCAGCTGAGCAAGTAGCTTCGGTTCTCTAAACGACAGTTTCTTCAATAAGAATATTCTAGGGCCCAAGCGCGGTGGCTCATGTCTGTAACCCCAGCACTTTGGGAGCCTCAAGTGGGTGGATCGCTTGAGCCCAGGAGTAGGAGACCAGCCTGGGCAAAATGGCGAAATCCTGTCTCTACAAAAAAAATATTAGCTGGCATGGTGGTGTGTGCCTGTAGCCCTAGCTACTTGAGAGGCTGAGGAGGGAGAACTGCTTGAGTCTGGGAAGAAGAGGCTGCAATGAGTCATGATCATGCCACTGCTCTCCAGCCTGACTGACAAAGCGAGACCTTGTCTCAAAAACAAAGAACTTCTTGGGACAAGTAATAATAGCTAGTACTTACTGATTCTTAATCAGAAGCCAAGCTCCATGCTACACTTTTTGTATGCTTTACCTCATTAAGGGAGAGAGGGACATTAGTATATACGTTTTGTAGGTGGAGACACTGAGGCTTGGAAGAGTCACTGACAGCTGTGTGAGTTAGGCTTTGAATCTGATTCTCCCTATTTCTGAGTCTGTTCTTTTTTCCAAGACAGAGTCTCGCTCTGTCGCCAAGGCTGGAGTGCAGTGACGCGATCTCAGCTCATTGCAACCTTTGCCTCCTGGGTTCAAGTGATTCTTGTGACTCAGCCTCCCAGGTAGCTGGGATTACAGGCATGCACCACTATGTCCAGCTAATTTTTATATATTTTAATAAAGACAGGATTTTGCCATGTTGCCCAGGCTGGCCTCAAACTCCTGACCTCGAGTGATCCACCCGTCTCAGCCTCCCAAAGTAATGTGATTACAGGCGTGAGCCACCGCACCCTGCCTAGTCTCTGCCTGCATTTTCACCTCTCACATTCTGAATGAGTGTCTGTATTTTGAGAACCAGATCTTGTACATTCTTCACCTTGTGTAGTTAAAGATCACTTGGGGCCTTTCCTAGCTGGTGACTGAACCAGATAGCCTTTCAGGTCATGCCCAGGAAATGAGCACCCTGTCAGGTGAGAGCACAGGACCAGAGCCCCATTTGGTTGCCATGGTAGCAGGGCAGCAGGATCACAGGGAGCAGTGACCCATTGGACAGCGAGCAGCAGTGTGGTCAAGGTTCCTCACTAGTTTACATCCGATGGTTACTGCTGATTTGTTTCTTCTAATGAAAACATTGGGCATTTCCAGATCTTTTTAAAAGGTGAGGAAGTGGAAATTAAATGAAGAGGGCCTGAGGCCCTTTTTAATTAACTCTGAAAATCTAAATTACAAGCCACAGTACCACGTCTGGGTTCTCTGTGTGTGTGTGTGTGTGTGTGTGTGTGCGCATGTGCACGCGCGCGCATGTATAAGTACCAATTATCTTTACTTTAAAATAATAGCTAGTATTTACACAAATATAAGGTTGAGGGAAAAAATTTCTGCAACTCTTTAACATAAGTAGAGAATTTTAATAACAGGTAAGTAAGATAGACATTTCCAAGGAATGTTAAGCTCAATAGTGAGCCTGTAAAATATTACTTTACTGGTATCCTTTTTTTGCTTTCAGTCACTGAGGAAATAATTTCAATAAGAGGTGTAAAAGCAGCAGCAGAGTATTTGAAGTTTCAGATGCTGCCATACTTTATTTATTTATTTATTTATTTTTTGAGACAGAGTCTCGCTCTGTTGCCCAGGCTAGAGTGCAGTAGCGCGATATTGGCTCACTGCAACCTCTGCCTCCTGGGTTCAAGTGATTCTCCTGCCTCAGCCTCCTGAGTAGTTGGGATTACAGGTGTGTGCCACCATGCCTGGCTAATTTTTGTATTTTTAGTAGAGACAGGGTTTCACTATGCTGGCCAGCCTGGTCTCAAACTCCTGACCTCGTGATCCACCCACCCCAGCCTCCCAGTGTGCTGGGATTACAGGCATGAACCACTGAGCCTGGCCGCCATACTATATTTTTTAGCAATATTCCCAAACCATCAAATATTACCTAATCTTGTAATCCATTAAACATACATTTATTTGTTCATTCAGAACAGAGTGTCTGCCATATAGTAGGCCCAATGCAAAGTAGTGAGGATACAGAAATGAAAGACACTCTTTTGCCAGTGTCTTGCACTGAATCCCTCTAAAGAGCAGGTGTTACAGGGAATAGGGCTTCTTAGTACAAGAGAGAGAAACAAAAGCAGTTAGGCCATTGGCTGCATTTGATTGCTTCTGGTAACTTTCTGGAGGCTGATAGCTCTTAGATTAGAATGCCAAGGCAGAAAAAGTGGATGAGAAGCCTTTTCCGTTGAGTCTCTGACATGGTGTTTGCACAGTGTGAATGATGGAATATGTCAGAGAAATGAGCATTTTGCTGGAATGAAGGCAGTGAAGGTTAAATGTTCCAAAGTCTTTAAGTTTAAATTGTTCATGACATAGTATTGTGATGTTAACTGTTAGTAATAGCCAAAACTTGTTTCTGACCTGTCAGAACTAGTTTAAAAGATTTTTATGAATGCTTTCTGCATCTGATTTTTTAGTAATCATACTTTTGCTTTAACTTCTTGAGGCTCTTTATAATTGGGTGCTTTGGAATCAGGTAATCATAAACTAATGTTGACTAATATAGGTATTTGAGCCATGCAAAGGGCTGGGCTGTGGAGTATGACCCTTTGCCTCCTTTTTGTGCCACTAAGTCTTCTAGATGAGTTTCTTATTAATAATTTCAAATGAAATCCTATGTTTTTTAAAATAAATTAGGAGGCTTTTACGTGACTGGATATCTTTGGAAGGTTAGGAAAATTCTGAACTGTATGTACATGCAGTAATTTCACTTCTTTTGTTTCTAGTTTAGTGTATTAATCTGTTCTCGCACTACTATAAAGAAATACCTGAAACTGGGTAATTTATAAAGAAAAGAGGTTTAACTGGCTCATGTTTTTGCAAGCTGTACAGGAAGCATGGCTTGCGGGGACCTCGGGAAACTTTCAGTCATGTCAGAAGCAGAAGCAGGCATGTCTTACATGGCCAGAACAGGAGGAGGAGAGCAGCGGGGCAGGGGCTGCTACACACTTTTAAACAACCATATCTCCTGAGAACTCACTCACTATCACAAAAACAGCAAGAGGAAATCTGCCTCCATGATTCAATCACCTCCCTGCAGTTCCCTCCTCCAACATTGGGGATTACAATTCGACATGAGATTTGGGCAGGGACACAAATCCAAACCATATCACTTAAATTGGCAGAAAATGCAAACAAACTATGGTAAGAGTCTTAAGAAAGTAAACAGGCAATTAAGAAAATTACTTTGTGAAAGCAAGCCAGAGCCTAAGAAAACTGTCCACTGCCTGCCATGTTGAAGATTCCACTAGTTTCCTCCAGCCATGCAGATAAAGGAATGTCAGCCAGACCCAGAGACAAGTTAGGTATTTGTTCAGTCCCAATAAATGATGCCACTTGTAGCCTCAGAGCTCAATTATTTTGACATTCCAACCTTCTCTTTCTGTTTCCTTCTTAGCTCCCTTGCCTCAGCTCCTATGACAGCTACTGCAGCAATCAAGTAGCCGCCAAAGCTCTGCTGGACCACAAAAAGCAAGATCACCGAGTCCAGGATTTCCTACAGCGATGTTTAGAATCCCCCTTTAGCCGCAAACTAGATCTCTGGAATTTCCTCGATATTCCAAGAAGCCGTCTGGTAAAATACCCTCTGCTTCTCCGAGAAATCTTGAGGCACACACCAAATGATAATCCAGATCAGCAGCACTTGGAAGAAGCTGTAAGTTTGTCTGTTTCCTTCTTTCTCTTCTTGTTATTTCCACCATAATGGCTGGTGGATTGGGTCAGCGGGTGAATGGAAGAGTCCTTGGGTACTTAGTACTCAGGAATCTTGGGTTCCAGGCCTGGCACTGCCATCGTCCATGTTTTGATTTTACAAGTCACTTCTCCTCTCTCTGCCTCAGTTTCCTAAACTGTAAAATGCAGTGTTTACATGAAACACACTGTAAGGTCCCTTAGGCAGTAAAATTCTTGGTTTTACATAGGTGACTCTAATCTGGTGTTACAGTTGCTGACTGTGAGGGATAACACTGTTGTGTAGATTTTAAATTTTGTTTGGTTATAAAGTAATAAGTTGCCTTTTAGCCTAGCCCCAAAGCTCATTTGTGAAGTGGACATCCATTTAAGATCTAGCTCCCTTTGGCCCCCGATTACAGTGGGTTGCCTTGTCAAACCTCCTGCTCACTAGTGGGATCCTCACTCAGCAAATGGTTATTGAGTACGAGCTGGACATGATGGCTCATGCCTGTAATCCCAGCACTTTGGGAGGCTGAGGTGGGCAGATCACTTGAGGCCAGGAGTTCAAGACCAGCCTGGCCAAAAAAGCAAAACCCTGTCTCTACTAAAAGTGCAAAAAAAATTACTGGGCGAGGTGGCATACGCCTGTAATCCCAGCTACTCAGGAGGGTGAGGCACAAGAATCGCTTGAGCCCGGGAGGTAGAGGTTGCAGTGAGCTGAGATCATGCCACTGCAACTCCAGCCTAGGCAACAGAGTGAGACTGTTTAAAAAAAAAAAAAAAAAAAAATTATTGAGTGTGGGCTGAGTAATCTGGGAAATACATATTTTTCCCTAGCAGCAATAGGAGACGAGGAAAAATGGGGTGCCTATCACAAGAATATTGTAAACTGTGAGCATTCCACCCAGAAAGTGCCATTCTGGTTGAAGTACTCTGCATGGTAGAGATGGCAGATGGCAGGCCATGGGGAGTGGGTGGCCTGAGCAAAGATATAAAGACAGGACAGGTCATGCCTGGGGAATATCATAGATCAGTTGGCCTGGGGTTAGGGGTCCTCTGAGAAAACAGCAGGAGAGAAGACAGAGGATATGGGTTCAGATCTGGTTATAGAGGTTTTTAAATATTTAAGAGATTTTTCCTTTGTCATGCAATTAATTGAAGTTTGTTTTTGTTTGTTGGTTGGTTTCTAAGTAGCTAGGATTCAGGATTCAAATCCCAGCTCCATCATTTACAAGCTATGTAACTTTGGACACATACTCTTGGTAGAATGGGGAACTGAGGAGGAAGAGACTGGTGATAAGGATGCAAGTTCGGAGGATGCTGTCCGGGTGTGAAAACCTGATCAAGGAGGTGGCAGTGGGGGATAGAGGCTAACAGATCATTCAGAGGGCTCATTTTCTGATGTAATCTGGGACAATAATAGAAGGAGGATATGCATAAGTAATTTGAAAATCAGAAGCCTTGAACCTACTGAGCAAACAGCCTATTTCCTCCCAGATAGGAGTTTCATAATAAGTAGTAGTAACAACAATCATGGTAATAATTGCTGGCATTGAATACCTAGTAAATCAACTTTATGTAATTTGCCTCATAGGTTATGTATCTCATTTAACCCTCACAACAGCCTAGGAGATAGCTGTTCTTATTAGGGCCATTTTCCAGATGAGGCTTGGAGGGGTTAAATAGCTCGCCCGGGTCCACAGCCAGCAATTGATGCAGTTGATGTTCAAACCCTGTCAGTGTAGACTCCAAATCCTGTGCCCTTCTACTTCTTTATGATTCTATACCTTGATGCGGGAAGCCTGCCCACCACTTTCTGTTGCCTTTATAATTGCAGAGAGCTGTCTGCTCACCAGCCTCACCGGTGCAGAACTGGGCTGGGTGCCTCCAGGTAGGATAGAAAAGAATAATAAAGGACCCTCTTCTGATTCATGAGGTATTCAGTATATCCGGTAGGCCCAACACACAGAGATCAGGCCTGCAGTCCAGCACAGATCAGGGATGCAGGCACTGGGTTGAGGCCCATCTCACTTCATCATGTCTGTTTTTTTATTACTGGGAAGAGTGCGATAGAGTTGCCTCCTCTCCATATTTCATCCCAGCAAGTGTGTGGTCTGCAGGAATAAAAACAACAGGGAGCATGAGCTACTCAAAATCATGACTTTTTTGAAGCATGGGAGCCTGTTCTGAGTTACTGTAAAGATTTTTTTTTTAATATGGAGCATGAAAGAATACTGTTCTGTTTTTTAAAAAAAAAATACCCAGTGAGCTAAAGTTTGAATTTAAAAACAGATAAGAATGTGATTGTGTGTAATATAAAATGATGTGCTAGTAACCAGTTTCCCTAGTGCATAAAGTATGAAGCCATTTTCAAAAGTTGACTCTGCACCTGGTTATTCAGGCAGATCTGTGCATGAAACATGGTATACCTGCATTTGAAAATGTCTGCAAAGCAAGTCTTCCAAATGCCTACTCACACAGTATACGCACAGGATTTTTTTCCCCCTCTTTACAAAATCCTCGTAGCATTACCCCAGATGAACAGAATTATTTAGCCCTGTACTCTTGGGTGCATTATGAATGTCTGATAAACATAAAACCCATAGCACCAATATAGCTTGACAAATATCCCCTGAATAAATTTCCCATCAATGAAAGGGGAAAAATCAGAGAGTGCTAAGTAAATTGCTTCCGTTCCAAGGGAGTTGATTGCATTCAGACCTATGATTAGATCTAAAAAGAGTTCTTGCCTTTAATGTAGTGCCTAAACTACCACATCTTTATTAGAATTTCTTAATAATGCTTTGAGGGTTGATAAAAAATTTTTCCCAAAAGAGAACTTCTTAAAATAGGAGTTTGGATATTCAGATATTCCAGAGAACTTGGTCATTTAATGTTTTAAATTCTAAGGATTTTTCTGCCAGAAAATGATCCTGCAGAGCATCCCTTCACCCTACCCACCACTATTTCTCAACTCCTAAAAAAAAAAAAATCACTGAAATAAGTGGGAAAACAGTCCTGCTTTTGATGCAACAGCCATGAAGACTGCTATTCTTGGTTCATGGCAGGAGCCAATGAGTATCATGGCACAAGGAACCAGACAGTCAGGGCTTTCAGAGTCCACTTTGAGGATGATGAGTCCAGCACGTGTGCACTTAATCTCTGTACTGTTACCAGGTATCTCTCATCATCTCCCTTTACCAGTCCCTTCCTTCAGTCTGAACCCAGTGAGAGATGCAACAATAAATTTAATTTAAATGCACAACTACTGTGACTGTTGTCTGGCTAATGGCAGCCTGCTGTATGTAACTTTATGCCTCCCTGAAATTCTGCAAAATAAATCTCTCTCAAGAACCAATGCAGAGGCCAGGAGCAGTGGCTCACGCTTGTAATCCCAGCACTTTGGGAGGCCAAGGCGGGCGGATCACCTGAGGTCAGGAGTTCAAGACCAGCCTGACCAACATGGAGAAGCCCCGTCTCTACTAAAAATACAAAATTAGCCTGGCATGGTGGTGCATGCCTGTAATCCCAGCTACTCAGGAGGCTGAGACAGGCGAATTACTTGAACCCAGGAGGCGGAGGTTGCAGTGAGCGATTGTGCCATTGCACTCCAGCCTGGGCAACAAGAGCGAAACTCAGTCTCCAAAAAAAAAAGAACCAGTGCAGAGAGATAAAACCCTCATGATATTCAGGTAGATAGAAATACAAAACATTATTTTTAATAAATGAAAGCAGACCCACAGTTACTATTATAAATGTATACATAGAACATGGAATGAGAACACTGATTGTTTCCATTGTTTTGTCTCTGTTTTTGAAACACCAGCAAAAGAAGCAGTATTTGAAACTAATCATAGCTGCATAAGGAACCGCCATGGCATTTGAGTTTATTAATCTTCATGTGATATGCCAGCTGTTCAGTTCCTGAGTTAAATTAGGAAATGAACACATATTTATGACTATAGTGCATCTTCTTTCTGGTTTCCTAGATACTTGCAGGCAACTCAGAAAATTGACTCAAGTGCTGATTAATTCCAGCTGTCCAGGTACACCTGGTAACAATTAACTGATAAGTCACAGCGACTAATGCTGAGGTCTTTAATAGTAAGGAAGAAGCATGGATTTCACTACATATTGTAAAATATGGAAAGGTAAAAGGATAAAGTAGACATAACACAGTTGCTCAGATACCTCCCATTTGTTTTAAGCTTCTTGAAGGCAGGAATCTTCTCATTTCTGTGAATGCTACCACTTAGTCTAACATGGAACAGGTTCTCAGTAAACATTAAATTAATTTGAAGGATGAGTCATGGCTTTAGTATAGTTTGTGAAATTATTTTGTCTTGAAAGTAACAGTGAAAATCAGTCATTTTTGAAAACCAAGAAAGGAAAAAAGAAAGTAAGAAAGTATACCAAAGTGTTCTGCTATTTATTGTTTTATGTTAATAAAGCTCAAATTACTTTTACAGAATTTATATTTAATATTAGATTGACGTCAAAGGCCAAAAAGCTTCTTCTGTAACACTAAAGAGCCTATATTTTTTAAAATAAGGATTTTTTTTTTAATCAAAGTAGTGAGTGCTACCACCACAATTTGAGAAATAGAGAAAAGAATAAAGAAATCTTTGAAACTTTTGGCCAGGCGCGGTGGCTCATGCCTGTAATCCCAGCACTTTGGGAGGCCAAGGCAGGCGGATCATGTGGTCAGGAGTTTGAGACCAGCCTGGCCAACATGGCGAAAGCCCATCTCTACTAAAAATACAAAATTTAGCTGGGTGTGGTGGCAGGTGCTTGTAGTCCCAGCTACTCAGAAGGCTGAGGCAGGTGTATCGCTTGAATCCGGGAAGCAAAGGTTGCAGTGAGTCAAGATCGTGCCATTGCACTCCAGCCTGGGTGAAAAGAGCAAGACTCTGTCTCAAAAGAAAAAAAAAAA